ATTTCACTCCCATAGCATTGTCAAACCCATGATGCACAGCTGGAAAACTAAAAATAAGGATATACATATTATACCTTTTTTATTTTCATCCACGTGTTTTGCCTATCAAAAACACAATATATGTCGGTTTCATTTAAGTGTATCACTTGAGGGAATTAATCAGATTTCAAACCGCTCCCTCTCGAGTCGCACAATATACTTTTTTCCGGCAGTAATACTCCCCAACACTTTTAAGCAGACTTTGTATAAAATGAGTAACGCAAGCAAAAACTGGATGTGCATCTCCTAACAATTGACTTTTGATCTTCACTAGTTGATGCAGTTTCTTTCGTTTTCTTCCCTCCACAGTTTCTTCGAGAACCTCAGTCGAATAATTTCTCCCAAATATGTTCCTATGGAGACGGATGTTCTGAGAGTGAGAGTGAGGACCTGTGGAATCATTGAGACGCAGTTTCAGCTTCATGACGTGATCTTCCGGTAAGGCTTTCTACACTGGCAGGCAAAGCCAGCAGTGGTTGCAGCTTCTTAGCTTAATGAGAGGGTTATGTTTTTGGAAAGTAAAAACCCAAACCAGAGAGGAGGTGTTCCAATTTATACGTCTGTATCTCACATTATTGTAACTGAGCAAAAAAAGTACATTTGACTAAATGTTTGCCGTGTTTGTTTTCCTACAAGCACATTTCACACCTCTTTAATGGAATTTGAACTGAAACTGGTGACAATTCGATATGGAAATATCGACCAATAAATAACTTTTCGAAAATCATCGACACATCGGTTTTCCAACCAACGGTTTAACAAAGAAAAACCCAAACTCTAGTTTATTGAGGACTTTAGTGTTCTTTTCCATCAGAGTTCATTCACTGTTCACGAAGTTGGTGTACGCTCTATACAATTTCTGCTGTCTGCAGCTAGCTGCTTGTTGAGCCTCTGGAGCTTCAGCCTCGGCACCAACTCTTGAAGGGTCGCTGATAAAGCTGAACTCTCCTGAGCTGAGGGAGGCAGCTGCCTGAGACTCAGACATGAAATATTAATGTCTTCACTGTGCCTGGTTATTCCAGGAATAATAACACATGTAAAGGAAGTGTAGACATAAAACATACAACAAAAGTTACCCTCCTTTCCCCTTGGACCTTTTTGTTTTCAGAGTAAGCAACCAATCAGGATTCTCCCTGCACCGTGTGCTGTGAAGGCATTCAGTGTGCTTGTTATAATACATCTAATCCATACAGTCAATGACTTGATATATATTGCACTTTTTCGTGGTTAGAACTGCATCACAATGCTTCACTTAAGAGATGTTAAAGAATTGGACAATTTTGTAACACTCTTTCATTTAGATCATGTGTCATCAAGATGTATTTTTGAAATAAAATAAAAGTGACACTGTGGAGCCACTGTGTGCTTGAGTGATGAAGAGTGAAGATATTGTGTTATTGAAAACGAGCATAGCATAATAAGGACACGTCTTACTGGATGCCTTAGGTGGTTTCCATTTTATGGCTAAATTCAATAGTGATATTTTCCCACGTATTCCGACCTGTATACGTTTCAAGGACTGTTTTTGCTTTCATAGAAAACTCTGAAAAACTTTAAAAGCCTTATTTTGTACAGCATGGACCTTTTTAAAAAAATGTTAACGCAGAAACTACTGCCGTCAAATGCCGTAGTTTAGGCTTGTTGTCCCCCAGCTTGTTAACCCTGACTCTCGCCCCGGAGTAAACGCTTCATTGCCTCTGACATGAGTACTGCAATCATGCACCTGGAGACTGTCTGGCCCAAATGGGAACTCATTACCTGTGTCAGCGAGACCCTCCACTTCACTTTGTGCAAGATCACTTTTTGAAATGGATTGCCCCAATATTTGAAATGGGGTTTGGATTATCATTGTAATTTTGTATCGAGGCATTTGTTCAACATTTGTCATGTTGCCCTATGATTAAACGTTTTATTTTTTGATTAACTCTTATCTAAGATCTTGCAAAATCGGAAACATCTTTTAAATCTCTTCTCAAAACTTCTCTTTAAAAAAGGTTTCTTACCAATGTGCTTTATTTCCAACATGTCTTGTTATTACTTACTTACTACATTTTTATATTGCTTTTTAGGGATTTTAAAAAGATGGTGTTTTGTTAGTTGTATGATTTTGTTAGTGGTATGATTTTAAGTTATTGTAGGCCTGAAATGTTTGGTTTCTTTTTAAACTATGAACAAAAATCACTTTGTAACTTTTTTTTGTTGAAAAGTGCTATATAAATAAAGTGTTTTATTATTGTTCCTTAATTATAATGTGCTCATTTGACCAGTCTCTTGGAAATGGTCATGCAAAAAGAATCAAACTATGTTCTTGCACATGTTGTCTATGTGACCATAAGGAACTCATTGTATGATAGGCAAGGCAAGTTCATTTATATAGCACTTTTTACCACAAGGCAATTCAAAGTGCTTTACAAAAAAGACATTTAAGAAAATGGCATTTAAAATCAGTCATTAAAAAGAAAAGCTAATAAAATAAACATTAAAAGAACAAATACATGGATGGATTGTGTTTGCTTATTGCAGGATGTATGACGTCGGGGGTCAGCGCAGTGAGAGGAGGAAGTGGCTAAGCTGCTTTGACTGTATTCAGGTTGTGCTGTTTGTCATGGCCCTCAGTAGCTATGATATGACACACACAGAGGACCCTTCAGAGGTATGATAGGAAAAACATTAATCCCATAAAACTAATGTTTTTTCTTTTCTTTTCTTCACTGAATATAAATCGAATTGGGTGCAAACTACATCAATTGTATCTGTCTCTCCCTTCCATATTTTTTTATTTTATTAGAATCGACTGCAGGAGAGTCTTGAACTTTTTACATCCATCTGCACCAACACCGTCTTTGGCAGCACCTCACTGGTAAGTTTATTTGCACATATTTCCGATGGCTTTCTGAAAGGGCAGTATGCTAAAAATAAAATAAGGCCTCACTTAAGAGCTTTATGTTTATTGCCTCTGCCTGTGTGTTATGCTCTTACGGTCTGTTTTTTAAAGCTCATCTAACTCTCTGGAGGTGACTGAAGCACTGAGTGGAGCTTTGAGTAATCCTTCATGCCAAACAGACTGGACACAAACTGGCTAGGATTGACATGCATAATTGGCAAACAACATTTAATTGGGATGTAGGGCATGTGGTTTCTGTTTAGCAAGTTGGCTGTGAGCACTGTTTAACACTGTCATTTAGTTTGATTACCTGTTAATGAGTTTTTGGGGCTATTTAGCATGAATGACTTGTTGCTCAGCAGCATTTATATATGCACTTGATTGACTCGAGGCATTTAGGGGGGAGGGTTATCGTACAGCCCTGTTTCGGACTTCAAAGTTGTGCTTTCATACACTACAGTTATGCTGAATCCAGTTTTTAGTGACAGTTTTGTGTTTTCGTGGACTGCTCCATGGACTAGTCTGTTCACCTGCAGTGTATTAGTGTTATAGAGTGTGTGTGGTTTTAGCTGACGCCTCGCTGAACAGCAGGGTACTTTCTATGTATGTTATAATATGGACGCACCGCATGTATGTACCGTGTCCCTTGTGAGTGGAGGGATTCACAATGTCCTCATTACACAGGATGTATCCTGACATTTCTGTTCGTATACAGCACTACAGGAATTCTATTTTATTTATGAGGGTGATGCTTTCATTTCTTATTTTCAAACTAATGTTATGCTTGTGAAACAGCTTTTCAGAATTGTACCGATGTTATACTGTTGAATGATGGAAGACAATCCTCCTGCCAGTACTGGGCCCTTTATAGAGTGTTGTGTACACTGTTAATTTAAACTTTACACTTTTGGTGTATATCTCTCTCCTCTCTCCTACAGATACTGTTCATGAACAAAACTGACCTTTTCCGGGACAAGATCCTACGCTCCGGAAGACACTTGAGATTGTACCTTTCTAGTTACAAAGGTATGTTGGAGAGGATGGCTTTTTCAAGTTTGAATGACGTGAGAGCTCAACTTTTAATACTCTGGTGGGCACATTGGACATATGTTCTAGTCTTATATTCCTCTAGGAATTAGTTGTATGTGTGTCTCTTTATTTTTTTGCTGGATGTGTCGAAGCATCCCCTCTGTCCGTGTGGTAATCAGAATTCCTCCTGGCCAGAGGCTTCACACACAGTCCTCTTTTTGTTTGTATATAATTTATTCTTCCCTTTCATGGTCATACATATTTTCCACTCATTCGCAGCAACTCACAGGTGAACTTTGCATCATGTTTTATTTGGGAATTGAGGAAAACTTTTGTACAGAATATCACTGTTAGCCATGTTCTTGTTGTATCAATATTAATGAATCGGACTGAATCAGTGGAGTTTGAACTCTTCACTTTACCGAACACTGTTGGTCTCAAGATCTGTCATTTGTTTTCCTTGATCCTCCTCCAGGAGCAGATGGTGACGTGGATGCTGCAGCCCACCACATCACCGCCATGTTCTCCTCGTCCAGTCCTGACAAACCCGTGTACCACCACTTCACCACTGCCACAGACACCTCCAACGTGCAGGTGGTCTTCCACATGGTCATAGATCAGGTCATGAAGGCCAATCTAGCTGATGTCCAGATGCTATAAGTTTCCTGAAGGCTGCTGAGATGTGAATCATTTTAAAGTTAATTTTATTTAGTTTTCCTGTGGAAAAATGTTTTAACTTTTTTTTTTTCTTCAAAATTTTAAATAATTTATTTAAGCAGCTAATATGTTTATTATTATATTATAATATTATTGTTATTATTGTTAGTACATTTTAAGACATTTTAAATAAAAATATGTATTTATACGCATGGTCTATTTTTTTTTAAAAAGCCATTTATTTACAATATCTCTTCTCCATTCAGCTTTACTTCTCCAGTTAGAATAAAACATCACCATATTTAGCACATACATTTATTTACAGATTTGAATGTAAACTATAACTTTAATCAGAGTTTTCCTGGTTTAAATCTTACACTTATAGTGCTTTTTTAATCCCTCTAAATTGAATTCATGACCACAATTATTGTGCTGATTATACAGAATGTAAGACATTTCTTGTAAATGAGAAGGAAAAAGATAATTACGTTCTGATTTGTTTTGCATTCAGTAATTTCAACACATGGCTGCAGTATGATTAATTTATTAATGAAATCTCAGATCAAAAATGTACATTAATACATAACTTTTACAGCTTAATGTTTTAAAGACTTGTATAATAAATAAGTGAAATGGTACATGGAAATTAGCATGTCTTCAATCTAATGCAAAAAGGTGTCAAACTAAGCTAACTCTAAAAGTGAGAGATGTACAGTTTTATAATCCCTGGCCCAGATGTCAGCCTCAGTCTCCTGCACAGTCTGCGGAGTCCAGAGTGAGGAGGACGTCCGCTTTGCACTTAAAGGATCCCTTGCTCTCCTGGAAGAGTTCACAGCTCTGCAGGTCAGGTGTGATGTCTTTGATGCAAACAGGCTGTTGGGAGAGAAAAATAGAAATGATGCTTATCTTTAAACAAATGTTACCTTTTAAGTAAAGTACACTTAAATCAAATAGTGTAATTTTGATTCCCTAACATACTGTATATTCCTGAAGAGAATTATACCAGTACGTAATTGATATGGACAACATCACAATACTTATTTTTCTCCTCTTCCTCGCACTGCAGCACAATTACTTGGTATGTACTACCTCAATGTTTCCATTTTGTTTTACTTTATTCTAATTCTCATTTGAAATGGAACTTCACTGACCTTTGTTCTATACTAGATTTGACAGTTGCATTTAATACTAACTTTGCAGACTGATTTAACATTTCAAAAACATTATTTCAACTTATTAAATGTAATATATTATTCTTTAAAGGACGGTATAAAATGATCTCAACCTCTACCAGCAACATTAGATGCTTAATATATGCCTCAGTAATAAATATAACACCTGAAAGTGCCATTGTGCTAAATAATGAGCCCCTTTATGCTGTTCATTTTATATACAAGACTTTAAATTATAATTAAGTTGTTGTGAATCTGAATGAACTTCTACCATCTTATCCATCCAGCTTTCTTTACATTTGCTAATAGTAAATAGTTTCAATGGTGCTGAGTCCTGCCTGAATTATCCATGAGTGCAGAGGATCTTTGGTTTTATAAAGATATATACATAGATACAAATAATGTATAGTTTGGTCCTAATATTATTCTACATGCTAGCCTCACTATTGAGTGCAATGTTAATAGTTAAGTAATTTATAGTTTCAAGCCTGGGCTTTTTATTGAATTTATTTAGCATCTGATTCTGTAGCATTTGTAATTTGAATGGAAATTGCCTTCGCCAAGTTACCAGTCGCCATGCGTAATGCGTAAAACTGCAAGCCATCCCACCCAACCCCACTCACCATCGTCTTCAGGATGAAATTGTTCTGAGTGAGTTCGGGGAACACGCTGTTGGTCGCCAGCTCGTCGCTGTCTGACGAGTCCAGCTCGGCTCTCCGGGTGTACGGGGATCTGCGGATACCGGACAGCAACCCGGACGCCCTGCCCACCGAGTAGTAGCTCGGGCCAGCCACCTGCTTGTACCATGCCTGCGTCGGACTGCAAGCCACCAGCGCGGAGATGATCACGATGGGCAGCACGAGTTTAGCGTGCATTTCCATGTCGAGAACTGAGGCTTGCGTCTGCGCTCCTCCAACTCTCTGGTGGTCCTTGCTGTCACCGCTTCACTCTTTATAGGGACCCCGTGATCATCCTCTCACACTTTCGTCAACGCAAACGGCTCAGGAGGGATGGGGTGGGGTTGATTTACACACGACGCACATCAGATAAACCCACTACTCCTGGCTAACTTTAAGCCATGTATTATTTTTCAGAAAAGCAATTGGGAAGTCTCGTGTAATAAGTCAAAGCAGGTGGTGTAAAATAACTTTTTTTTTTAAAATAACATTTTTGTTATAAATAGAGATTTATAGAATACACATTTTCGCCTTCCAATTACTCCAACGTAAAAGTGCACATTATGACAGACTATTTCAGATGTTTTATTATAAGCTCTATAAGTCTGATGTACTATTATAATTTTTCACCACCAACTATTTAAAAGTAATGTCAACAATACAATATATTTGAAACGGTTCATGACAATGACTGTGCTCAGACCACATCAAAGAAACATAATTTCCAGTTATACACAGGATGTGTTTCCTCCATTCAGTGCTTGTTTCTCACACGGAAACAGAAAAAGCTTAAGTCCTATCTCGATTTGTTTTGTTCCATTACAGGAAACTACACCCCATGAGAAGCAACTGGAGACAGAGATTGTGCATCTTTAGGCCATTAACAAGCCATAGCTCTCACAAACAAATCATTTATTTTTTGACTTACTCACTCAAGCTGTAACTGAAAACATGCGCATTGAAAAAAAAAACTTGACATGGACTCTGATTCCACTTTTTCTGGCAGGTAGGTACAACATTTACATAATTTAATGTTTTATTAAAATGATAATAATCTTACAGGATATGAATCAATCAATCTCTTTCAGGTGTTTTCTGCAATACATGCAAGGTGATATATCAGCAGCAGCGTATCTGTGCAGTGAAAGGCTCGTCTGTTATCATCCCTTGCTCCTTTTACTGTCCTGAACCCCTGAGAGTGAACGGATGCAGGTGGGTTCATGCCAAGTCTCATTTAAAGGGAACTTTAATATATGGCAGTAACTTTAAAACAGCCCCCAAAAGGTTCCATTTTATTCAGGACAATCGACAAAATTGTTCTTTGAAAATACACCCAGTGGAGCGAAATGATGCAGGAAAATATACGTTCAGGCTTACAACTAACTCCAAAGAGTTCAAATGGAGTCATCAAGTTGGCTCAACATTAAAGGTTGTTGGTAAGTTGCTTTTCCGTAAAAGAACTGATGAACACTCTCTTCAATCTGTCTGGTTTGAAACTAAAGCCATACTTAACTTTTCTAGATTTGAAAGTCTCTGTGACAAATCCTGATGGAAACAGAGCAATGCAGGAAGGCGATTCTTTGAATCTCACTTGCACACACAGCTGTGATGGCGGTAACCTTTCATCGGCCTTCACCTGGTTTAAAAATGGAGAACACATCAATGAAGGATCTATTCTTTATTTAAGCAACATGTCTTCCGAAAACACTGGAAACTACATTTGTTCTTTAAAAACACACACAGGAGCCACTTCAGGAGCCATACATATTGATGTTGAATGTAAGTACTGGACACAAGTTCAACACTTTTACATAATTTGAGTTGACTAATTTCAGACATGATTTCTCTGACAGTAAATCTTTTTTTCCAGATGGCCCTAAGAACACATCAGTGTCTGTCAGTCCGTCGATGGAGGTAGACGCCGGGACAAACGTCAGCTTGATCTGCAGCAGCCATGCAAACCCCCCAGTGGAGAATTATACTTGGTTTAGAGTAGATGCTAAGTTTAGTAAGGATGTCGGACACCAGCCTGTGTTTTTTCCTGATTATGGTGGCAAGTATTTATGCTGTGCCACCAACAAACACGGAAGCCAAAACTCCTCTGTTGTGGTTTTAAAGATAAAAGGTGAGTAGTTTAACATTATTAATATTACCAGCAATTGCAATATTAGCCATGTTGTAAAATAATTAAAATAGATCTAAAAGTTGTCAAAAAACAAAAAAATGTACTGTTATGTTACTTATGTTGGGGATGAATAAGACTCAAGAAAACCTCAAATGAAACATTTTTGTATTATTATTTATTAAATACAGTATGAGTTAAAATACCCTCTGCCTTGTTTCACAGCATATTGGACAACTCTCCCCAGAGAGGTACTTATCATTACTGCTATCACCGTGCTTCTCATTGTGATTGCTCTTATTGCCATCAGAAGGTAAACTTTTATTGATTTTTGATGTCACCATTTCCATTTCTGAAACGTAGATAAGGAAAGGAGCACACTCACTAAGAGGGTGAGGCCTGTATGAAGGACTAGATATTTTTTTGTGTCACTGAGCAGTGGGGAAGTACATGTGTAGAAACATGCAAGTACAGACATTCATACTTAATGAGGAAAGTAATGAGTCTCATCCATTGGCCTCAGATAAACTCAAGTCCCATAAGCAAGTGCCATTGCTGATTGAAAGTATCTCCTGGCTTTCGATAAACATGGCCTGATGTGGCAAAAACTACGACAGACCGCAAATGAGATCCTTGGAGGAATGAGTTATTCATTGCTCAGGGGTCTGCTGATGTATATCACAGCTTTGGTTATGCCTTCTAGCATTGTCGTGATTCTATTTATCTGTTACAGATTCCACAAAGCAAGTACCTGGATAACAGAGACAGGCTGTGAAGAGGAAATACAGGTCATTGTTTTTGTTTATTCAAGACTGCATTCTAGTCTATATTATATTACAATTATAGAAATCTGTTGCAGTTCAATTTGCACAGAGTTCAGCAAAAGAAAGGCACTTCAATCCCTATCTTAAGTCTCTGCTGTATGACAGACACCATAATGGGAAAACACATGACATTGTTTTTGTTGTATGGGTAACACTGAAGCTCATGATAAAACCATAAAGGCAACATTTGACTACATTGTTCAACATATTCTATTTTAGGATTGTATGGAGAATACAGACTATGTCAACTGGCTCAGCTGTGACACTAACCAATCACAAGAGGGACATCCGAGTGAGGGGGGAGCAGAAGTCATCTATACGACTGTATACTTCAATCACAGAAACACGTTTGTATTTTAAAATACATCTTATCAATGTTTTCAATATTGTTGCATTGGAGCTACATGTGTTGATTGATCATATCATCTGCAGGGAGCAGCAGGTGGACTTCCATACTGAGTAAGATGTATTAGCATCACTGTGTTCAGGTAAAGCTTTTGAAAGATCGACTCATTATTATGTATTTTCTTTTACATAAAACACATTAGAAACATTTTTGTTCTCTTTTTAAGGAACCAACTGTCCAACCGAACCTACCCTTCAGATATCAAGCCTCACTACGATATGTGAAGAAATTGTGTTTTGAGGGTAATTGGTTTATGAGTTTGTTTGGAAGTATGTGAAATAAATATGTATTTGCCGCAATAAAGGCTTTCCAACTTTTTTCAAATGCAGTTGTTCTTCAAAAAGACTTTGATGTGTTAAATGTATGATATTTAACAGCTGGTGTTCTGTATTAGTACAGTATATACAATGTACAGGTTCAACTACAGATCACATATTGCATGCCTAGATTATCATTTTGCATTTGAACACTAAATGACCAAAAGTAAACATAGATAGTGAATACAATTGAAATGCTTAAATAATCAAGTACTTGCTTGATAAGTACTTTGTGTTTTAAAAAAAATCACAATACCACAGTTCTGTGCTGTGTCGACAAGACGGCAACATCATAACGGTGTGACATTTCCTCTAAGCAGGGCCTGGTTTCATGTTTACCGGCACTCGGGTTACAATTGAAGCCAAGCCAGTCTGTGGTGTGAGTGACCTGATTTGAGGGAATTGTATATGCCGATACAAAACTTTACATTACAATAAAGGAAGCTTTGCTCAACAGGAGAAGAAGAATAGGAGAAAATACACGCTAACTCTGGAAACAGTTAATGTAGCCTGCAGAAACTTGAAGATCAAAAAGCATCTTAAGGATTACTTGACTAAACTTGAGTATATGGCATACAGGTAGCACTGTCATTGTATCTACTATTATCTATACAGCATATGTATACTGTTTGTAATTCATTATAATAGTGCTGCACTGAGTTGTCTGCAAACATGTTTTCATTGACTGTATCTCCTGCAGGGGGAGCAGATGGATTCTCATGATGATGAAGGTGTGATTTACTGCACAGTGTGCAGGTAAAGCTCAGCGAGCACTTGCACGTTTCAACAATAAAAGACAGTGCAAATACAATTTTCTTATTTATTTCTCAGGGACCAACTCTTTGAACCTCCATATATTAAAAAAACTCTCTAATTAGACAACACGCATACTTCTTTCACACTAACTGGATACAAAATGTGCCAAAGTATCACAAAATGTTACATCAACAATATTTTGTGTGTCTTTTAGTTTTTCTATCCAGACTAATTACTGTTGATTAAACAGAAGACAAGGGCAACAAAAGCTACTTTAAGATTAATGTTAGCGTTAACAAATGTGCACCAACCTCACACCTTGAATAGTTTTCTTATGGCACCCAAAATGATTGTCAAATAAGCAAACATATCTCAAGGTTTCAAAGAGACAACAAAGTTCAGCTACATGGCATTCAATGTTTTATCTTGATTCAGCTGAGTGGCCAATAGACATGAGTAAACTCCATCTGACACTATCCTTACAGCTTTTCAAGAGTGTCCACTGGGCTGATTTTATTTTAACTTGACTTGTGCGTGCATGTATTTCAGTAAATGTATTTATTTTTTGTGTATAGGGACACTTTTTTGAACAAGTTGCAAAGTGAAGACTGGTTTCAACACCTTTGTCACAATCTCCTGACCTGGGAGTGCAGTCTAAGTAACCATGGTAACACGCCCGCACAAAAGGAACCTGGAACATTCAAGATAGGTGTTTCAGCAAGATGAGTTAGGTGACTCATTTTTTCAGCCATCATCGTCCACGTATTAAATCCTTTGGTGAAGAGGAGAGGTCTAGTTTCCGAAAAAACAAAAACGTTCATATATCTGCTCTTTTGCATCTCACCCAGACTTTCTGGTTAGTCTGCCCTCTGCTGACAGTTTAAGAGTATAGCATCCTAAATGGTAAAAGTTGAACCTTCAAAGTTTCTAAAGCAGGGGTGTCAAACTCATTTTAGTTCAGGGGCCACATACAGCCACATTGTATCTCAAGTGGGTCGTACCAGTAAAACCATAGCATAATAACCTATAAATAACGACAACTTCAAATTGTTCCCTTTGTTTTGGTGCAAAAAAGTACAAGTAGCCTACATTCAGAAAATGTTCACATTTAATTAACTGTCTTTTACAAATTGAATTATTTTACATTCATTGTCCCATTTGTGTAGTAATCCTGACCACCTTAACTGACACTACCATACAAACTAAAGTGGGTACTATTAAGGAAAAAGGTTAAGTTAGTGTAGAAAAATGAATACATACAAAATGTAATCTGTCATTTTTACACTTTGCAATGTCATCCCGCGGGCCGTATGTTGGACACCCCTGTTCTAAAGCATGCAACACACAACCTCCCTCAGTGGAAAAGTGGGTGTCATGTGAGAGCTGAAGAGAAGCAAAGCACATAACTGGATTAAAGGTCATATCAGATGCATCACATGGTCTTAAGACTTAATGTAACACAGCACAGCTGCAGGTTATACATGAATCTATTTATGAGAATTTACTGGGACATGCCAGTATGGATTTTTAACCCTTTCATGCATGAATTATGAAAGCCTCAGTCAGGATTTTTTTACCAAGTGTTATTATTGCTCTTGGGGAATGAAAAACAAGATTTTAACTTTTTTTTTTTTTAATCTAGTTTTTTCAAATAGATTTGTATATGTCCACTCAGGTGGACAGTATGCATTCAGGGTTTGAACTGAAGAGATGTACATTTTGAAAAAATGATTAATAAAGATGTGCAAACTTAAAATACATTATAATAACATAAGTATATTGATTTACGGCCCAAAAAGATATTGCAGATGAAGTATTTTCAAGAATTACCAGGGCCAGGGGCCAATTTGAGGCCCCACGCACAGTTATTTGATTAGTGCTAGTGGAGCCTCGCAGCGGCGAAACCGTGACGCGCCACCCTAATTGCGCCACTTAATCGCATAGGTGCGCCTCAGATGAGGCCCCCCTCCGCAAGGTGTGGCCCCACACAGTCTGCATGATCTGCCTGTAGGGAGGGACGGCCCTGGGAACAACAGCAGCAGTACCAGTATGAATTGTAGTTGAAATATAGCCAGTGATGCATGACGTCCACTGTAGTGGACAGGTGGTTAATCATGATTTCCTGCAAACATAACATCAATACTTTGATAATTTATGAATGATATGATTCCTTAGTTGTTACTTGATGTCACCACATTTTTTATACCTGCAGGGGACGCTTTCCATAAAAGGATTGGCAGGATATAGATGGGTGACTTGGTCCATGTGGCTTTCTGTCGTCCATCTTGGTTTAGAGACATGTATCATGCACTTACACTGACTTGGCACTGAGTGGCAGTGTATGGGATGATGCAATAGGGTCCTATGTAGTGGCTGATGGTGCAACTATGCAAAAAAAAAAATGCATATACAAGAAAACACCTTTTGAATAGCTGTCCACTGTAGTGACCTCTATGCATGTAAAACAACACTGCCCACAATAGATTATTTTTTTTGTATATATTTGTTTCTTATTAGCCTACTCACAGCAAGAGCATATTGCAAGAGCTACAAACACAGTTAAAGACCAGTTTGTTGTCTTGGTTAAGTGCTTTCAGCCTAAATCAAGTTTTAAATTGACAATGTAACAAAACTGACTTTGCTATGCTGAGTGCATTATAAAGTAATATCTCACCAGGTCCATGTGCTTCTTCTGTTATGGAAATCTTAGACCTAGTCAATACTGTGGAGATATACAATTAGAATGATCAATCAATAAACTGGTGAAACAATCAGAGTTGTCTTTCTGGTTCTTTATTCGAAGCTTCGAAGGTACAGGTCTCACAGAGTACAGAGTATTCTGGAAGAGTGCACACAGTGTGTGTGTAGGTTTTATAGGATCTTGACAGTTCAACAACACTTCGTCACCTGTCACTGTGGCAGGGCTGGATGGAGAGATAACTACGCCTGCTTTCCAGAGGAACAGAAACTGTACATTGCTAATATAGTAAATCAGGAACTGGATAAAGACAGATGGAAGTGAGGAAAGCAGGAACTCATTGTGGGTCAAAGACAGTTATAACTGAGGAAAGCAGGAACTCATTGTGGAACAGGGAAAAAACACATGAACTTGTTCAAGACATTGTGCTTCACCCCCAGACATTCTTAAGGTTAATCATAAGTTGAACAAAGGACATGAACTGAAATACATCATCATGGAACTACTGCATTTGGCTTTACCATATTAGGTAACATATAAAGTTTGCACATCATATAAAGTTTGCACTACATACAAAGTTTGCACTACATATACAGTTTGCCACTACACTACTTTGAGGACATGTTATGCCGTGGAAGTCGGCTCACTTAATACGCACACTTTAACACATCATGGAGGAATTTCTAGTAGCCTAAAACCTGAGTTATCTGTGATTTGAACTGCTGTGGTGTCCTTGCTCAAAGTCAAATTCAAAGTAAATGACAGTCACATGCAGCCTTTCTATATGAGCCTTAATGCTTTGTGACCATATAGTGAATGCACTGAACAGAGTTAGACAAAAATGCGTACATGGTTGGGTAACAATATCCTTGGAACAATCCTAGTTTAGGAGAAAGGTAGGCAAAACTCAAAATGTATCATTTTAAATGCATCAAAAAGTATACATGACTGGACGTCAAAAACATGTCACCAAAGGTTTTCTAATGAGAGCACTAGACTTGATAATATATGAACCATAGTGTCTTAAGAAACCTTTTTATCTTCTTAAGAAAATCACACAATCTCCCAAACAAATATGTAACTAAATCACTTGATGGCTCATGACTCCATATCAGCCAACCATGCTTTCCATTCATAATAGGACCGCATAATTACCTCTTTAATTGTGCAATAATCAGATAGTCTGTTCTTGTGTTAAAAAGTAGCAAAAAGTATCAAAGGCGTACTTGTTTATGTATCAACATTATAATTATTGAATTGTGTCAGAGTCCTTATAAGTAACCTTGCACACCTGTGCATGCACATTTGCTCTGGCCTCCTTCCCATAATTAAAAATACTGATATGAGTAATTCAGAAACATTACTAGCTGACGCCCATTTCAAAGAAAACGAAACTTTATAGCACATGCGGAAATGAAACGACAGTAGACCTGGGACTCTGTCGGTGCATCTACAGCAGATAGACTCCTGAGGGTTTCCTTTCAAAAACAGAAGAAAGATGACGCATCCAGCTCAGGTAGAACTGCTAACAAGGTTGTTACTGCTTTATAGAAAACT